TCGAGATCTGAGCCCATTGACTTCTGATGAGTCGCCCCCTGCTGACCATGAGAAAGAGTGCATGTTTGTGGCTCTTCTTGCAGAGCTGCAAGCCATGCTTATCCTTCATTTACAGTCTGCGGTGAAAAGCAGCATTCATCAGCCACGAGTGAGGCTCCTATCGTGCTAATCATTGCCGTTTTGTTGGAACATAATAATAAGGAAGCATAATTTTAAGACTTCCGTGATCCCGAGAGCAGCAGCAGCAGCTGAATAAAAATAACGCTGTTATTAAGCACTCGGAGGCTCCGGACAAAGGCCGCTTTCACTCTGTGTCTGTGTTTGTCATTGTCTCCATTATTTTCCTCAAGCACCCCGCCCATAACAATATAGTTATCAAATGTGATGAGAAACTAAGCATGTATTTACACAACTAAAACCAAACTCACATCTTTGTGCCAAATAGGTGGTGTGTGTGTGTGTGTGTGTGTGTGTGTGTGTGTGTGTGTGTGTGTGTACATACGTGCCTGCCAACAGCTAGGTGTGGAGTGAAGGAGATGAGAGTGTAGCAGATGTTCTGATAGCTCACTCATTTAAAACATGAACAAAACTGGCAGCGTGCGAGCTCAGAGTTCAGATCCAACAGTCGGGGTTACGAGACCTAAATTACACATTGCCTCCGTAGCTAGCGTGAATGATTAGAACGAGTCCCGCAATAATATTCTGGCTTTTGTTTCCGTTTTTGCACCGAAAGTTTGGCACAATAATGAGATGGTAAACGACATGATTGCGTTCCCCCTAAGAGCCTCGGATGTGTAATTTTGGATTTCTTCATTGCAATTGTGCGCTGAGATTGTCTCTCTCATGTGAGGAAATTGTTTTACAGCCCTGTGGCCAGGTCAGCGTGCTTCACTGTAAAAGGAAAACAACGCAGGGGCAGTAATGGAAAAGCAGTTTCCTTTTAAATTCGTTAAAGCTGCTGCTATGACTGACAGTGTGTTACACTGTCTTTGTCTTATAGTAATTGTGAGTACACTGTATGCACTGTTGTGAAGCATCTCAGTGAGGACGAAGGCTGAAAAGTTTCTATTTATATCAAAAACTACCAGGAAGCAAACTCGATTCACTCAATAAAAAACTGTGAGCTGAGCTTGAACAGGCTCAGTATAGACGAAGTTCAGTCCCCAGAAAAAGAGAACAGTGTTAGCTGCATGTTAAACTGGCTGCTTGGATCGATGCGTTCCCGGGAATAAGTGTAAATGTTTGCGACTGTGTTGGAGAGCGTATGACGGCGATACGCTGCTTATTTATTAATGAATTCATTAATGCAAGCCCACTATTTCCTGAGCGGCGAGACAGGCGGGATGCGATTCGACTATTTGTGCTAAAGTGTGAAGAAAAAAGGGGGAATCCTAATTATAGGTGCAGCTGTCTCTGTTTATATTTGCTGAATCTAGAGTTTTGCTGATGTGGAAATGTTCCTGAAAAGGTCACAACAATGCAAAGCTTTGGAGTGTGAGGATGTCAGTGTGCATCTCTGTGTTTCGCTAAACAAAAGAAGATTAAGGATCCTTTTTTAAAACGTGTAACTGTGTGCACGTCAGCTTGGTGAGAAGGACGAACGTGAATGTCTGCGACTCTCTGACTTAGGTGTAAACAGCTGTGTTCACTGGACTGAAACTGATGCACCGTTGAATATTTAATATTTAATCTTCTTTTACAACAACCGGTAGAACAAAAACACACAGGAGCAAGGAGGAAACAGGTCGGAATGACTGGATCGTTTTTGGATCGTTATCCTCACATCAGTTAGGATGGAGGCCGTTTAAGACGCGCACAAAGTGAAATTTAATAATGCTCACTTTCTCTAAGCCACTAAAGACGTACAATTATCTTAGTGTGTGGTTGTGTGTTGTAGTTTGGATGGTTACTGTGCTGCACACGTGAAGTGGAAGTGAACTGTTATCGTGTGTAATGCACGGATTACAACCAGAAGGCAAACATCTGGCGCGCACACATCGAAAGCCAGACCAGCAGACAACCAGGGCAAGCACAACCGCAGTGATGTGCATCTGCACTACAGTCATGGAGATGGTGGTGCAGATATGGAGTGCACGATTATCACACGCGTAGTTTATGAACAGGATAACCAGTGCGCTCGTGTCAGACGTTACTTCTGTTTATGCATATTTTACTTTTTCTTATGGCCAGAAAAAGCAGCTCTCCCCGGGTCCTCCCCGGGTCCTCGTTGTTAGGTTTGTGTTACGCTTGAACCAAAAGGTTTAACTGGAAAAACTGTTAAATATAAGCAGATGGAGTTTAATGGCTTTGACTGCATATTTAATGTAGTATAGGTGAGTCAAACATAAGGCCCGGGAGCCAAAATCGGCCCACCAAGGCCATAAATTTTAGACTTTTAATTGTATTGTCACAGCTTTCCCTGCTGATAAAGAGTCAGTAAAGTCCCCCATGGCCTTTCATACTACACAAAGGTAATTAACTAACAGATAACCAATAAACGCCAGAAAAAATCCTAGTTTTCACCATCTACTATAGAAATGCACTTGTTTTGTTGTTTTTTACACAGAGAAAAAACATTTTCTGTGCATTTAAAAAACTTTGTGCTTTATAATCACAGGACTGTCAGGGTAACGAGCTCCCAGAACTTTTTCTGTAGTTTCACACTTCAGCTGAACGAGTCGTGCTGACTGGTTTCTTTCATTTCCTACAGCAGCGTTTCTTTATCATGTAGAATAACTGAGACTGTTGAACTTGCACTTTGTTGTATTATGTCAGAGATTAACTGTGTCGTTAAACTTTTTACACTTATGTGGCCCACGATGTCCAGTGACATCTCTGTTCTTGTTTCATTGAAGGAGAGACTAAAAGTTTAAAGAGGCTTCATGAAGAGTTTGAAAATATCGAGTGCAAAGACGTAAATCACCACATGCTACAGCACATCGATGGTGTCATGTCAGGACTCAACACCTCCTGAAACGCCATGATTTTCCTGTATAATCTGCATTATTCTCCGTCCACGGTCACTTGTTAGAAGCTGTATTAAGAACAGAAGAGGCTGCCCTTCTGTCCCCATCATCACCGGCCTCCTGGTTAGGCCTGACACATCTGGGATATAACGTTCCCCTCGGGTTCCCCCCTCTCTCTCTGTTGGAAACCCAAATGGACACACACGTGCTCAGAGACACAGAGTTGGAGCCATCGGTCGCAGCAACAACCCCCTTCGTGTCCACTGGGAGCAGGTACGTGTCATTTCCTGTTCTCGTCTTCACCTGTCACAACCTGACTGAAGCAGTAAAATCTGAAAACGCTGGAAGCAGAGAGCACGGGGAAGGAGAGGACTGGTCGTAACAGCAGCAGGTATAGAGGTCTGGTTATGAAAACACAACTCAACTGCTGTTACTGTGTATTACTGTGTAATAACTGGCTATCTAAAGGACACGATCATATTATCATGCATTCAAACATCCCAGCTTTAATAACATTGGATCCATTGTCTCTGCTTCATCTAGTGGAAATTTAAACAGCTCATTATTACTGCTCAAGTTAAGCAGAAGAAAAAAAGTGTCAGGTTTGTACAATGGATTGCTTTAATGCTTAAATTATTGTCGAGCTGAAAAAAAAATGCTTGCCACAGCTAACAAGGTCCATGCAACGCTAGCATATTATAATAAATTGTAGTTACACAGCTCAGTAAAGTGGCACACAGAGTAATGGTCCACATTCATCACTTTACACACACTGCACACTAAGAAGCACTCCTGATAAACAACGGCTTCCGCTAAAATATTAAAAAACACAACAGGAAAAGGAAAACACCAAAGTTCACCTAATCCTTCACGACACACTAGCAACATGCTGCTAACATAATGGGCTGGGAACACAATATAGTCCACAGCTGGCCACTATTAGTAAAAGTCCCATGACCTAGACATGTTAATCCCTGTCCAGACATGTGGAAAACCCTCCCGCAGAGCAAGATGATTAACTTTAACCGATATGTTGGAGAATCCATGACAGAAGCACAAATACTACAGTTATTCATATATATGTACGTTTGTTTGGACACACACACAGGTTTGTTATCTTAGTTGCTCTGAAAATCACAGAGCTCTTCACAAGCAAACAGAGGGAAGAACCAAAGATCACAGTGCAGCTATTATTAAGTTTAAGAGTTTCAGAGCCTAAGAGCTGCTTTGGGAAACATAAAGGGTTCAATAGTCATTTCAGCTACATGTAAAGCTCAGCAAATGATCTCAGGATAGATAAAGAAACACTGCCGGGTAAAGAGTACTCTCCTGGAGGTCAGCGTGTTATTATCCAAGTGCATCATGCAGAGAGGACTTGAAGAGGGAAATGCAGAAGGTTCAGCACAAGGTGCAAACCAGTGTTCAGTATCAAAAGCAAGACAAAGCCCATCTGGAAGCACCCTTCATAATGATGGGCCACCAGTCTTTACTGATGATGCATAAGAAGAAAGAACCACTGGGATGAATTCTCAAGTGTAGGGACAAACTTCCTGCTCATATTCCACCAAATACAGCAAAGTTGCCTGGACAGGCAGTACAGATGGATGATAACCCACAAATACAGTGAAAGCAACTGACACATTTTTGCAGGTCCACAGGTTCTGGACAAAGAATGTGCCATCAAGTATTTAAAATGTAACATCTGGTTTCATATGACACGCTTGAATCCTTGAATTAAAGCTGAGATTCTGGCATTGTAGTGAAAAAATCCAAGTCCAGCACCAGGAAAACTGTGTCGCTGTAGCGTGCGTACATATCAGAGCACAAAGCCACACACAGGGCAGATAAAAAGACGACGAGGACAAAGACAAAAATCTCTGATTTAAAGAGCACGTGTTTGGTTTTGAAATATGATCGTTTAATTTATCGTATATGTGCAGATGTATTCCACTTTCATTCCTGCATTATCCACGCATGCAACTTTATTTCATCTGTGTGTAGTTTGTCCTATCATCCACGTGTGTGCGCTCCTACCGGGCAGGTCACAGCCGAGAACCTCCATCCTCATGCCGATCCCGGCGGGCGACCATCTCTCTGGAAAGACTCGGATGTGCTGAGTCACTATCTCGTCAAACCTCCGCACCTCGGGAGTATCGTAGTGGCCGTTGCCCTCAAAGATCTGAGGAAGAATGTGAAAGGTGAGCACGAAACAGTTTCACTGCATTTGATGCTAAATTCTTTGACATCGTTTCAAAGGCAGTCAGCAATACATTTTTGCCTGGTGCCCAAATCTGTTTGACCATTTTAAAAAATTCCTAAAACAACAGAAAATCCAGTGGAGGCAGTCAAGTGTTGGTATTTCACTATCCTGCCTGATGAGAAACCAATAAAAAAATGGAAGTCTTGATAAATAAGACACTAACTAGCATTGTTTCCCCGCCCAGAGCGACATGTGTCAAAAAAACAACAGACAGAAGATGTTTCCTTTGATTTCCAAATCGTCTTTGAGGCAGAAGAAGCCTCTGGCAAAAGCACAAGATTTATTACAAGCTTCATACAGACAAGACTACAGCGATCCTTTCAAAAAACGTGGGCCGTGAAAGTTGTACTATTGGTTTCATTAATTGAACTGTATCCTCTGTGTTCCCCATTTCTGAAATTTTAAAAACCGTAAGATGAATTTCCCAGGACGCTCATTTAAAAAGACAGGCAGATGAGAGAAAACAGGATTTTAGCATCAGGAGAAAATCCAGGCACTCAGTAGTACTATTAAAGCGTTTTAAGACATAGACTCAGAAAGCAGAACAAAGTTTAAAGTGCCCGTCTCGCAGTGCGTTAGACGCCAGCAGTGCTGAGTGGTGATGCAGGAAAGACATTTTTAATTAACACCCATGAGAGACAAATAGAGGATGAGAGACGAAGAGAGGGAGAGCGCAGGACTCGGGGAGAGGAAGACACAGAAGCACGAAGAATGACGAGCGAGGTGATTAAATTGAATTATTATCGGAGCCGAGGCTGTAATAAAGCGGCGTTTTCGCGAAAAATGACAAGAATGAAAAAGACAAAGACGAGGAGAAAGAGAGGGAGACGGGGGGAAAGGCTCGGCTGAGAGACGGCTATAAATAACTGCAAATGAGTGAGAAGTGGGCCCCCGTTTGTGTCAAAAACAAGGAGAGAGTGTGTGTTCTCCTCTACCTTAGCAAACCCAGTCTTGCTGTCAGTGATGTAGGTCCAGTCTTTGCCATTCGAGCTGTGAGCCAGTTTGTACTTCCTGACAAATGCTCTGTTCTCCGCACTGCCCTCCAGGCCTCGTGCACCTTGGGTAATAATGCCACGCACCATCTTGGGCACACCGAGGTCCACCTGCAGCACACAAAACAAAGTTAAACAAAGTTATTATTGCTCGCTCGCCCTCTGCGCCATGGAACCGATCAATTTCCAGATCCCCTGCCCATTGTGGCAACTGTGACTTTCCCGAGCATATAATCAATCAAACGTTGGTTTTCCATTGGGGAACTTTTAATAAGATTCAGCCTTTGGAAATGGGTTCTTCTTTCTATTCAATAGCAGTTCATGACCAAGGTCAGTTCACAAATGCAATCTAAACGATGGCTGAAAACTCCATCAGTGTTTAGAGACCCTGCTGTTGTCACGTGTGTCATTTTACAGTAATTTTGTGGGTTCGGTGGATGTTGTGATCGCCAGTGCAGGTGTGGAAAAGCCCGGCCTGCAGTATTTGATTGACCAAACCGTAGATTACATTATAAAAGACAGATGTGGATGCTTTTTTATGGCTCCTTTAGTTGCAAAAACAAGTCTCTGGGAAACTGACCCCACCCCCGCTTGATTTATCACTTCAGACGACCTTTTCTGATGTTCTGACGTTTATGGTCTCAGTGTCTGGTTTCAAGTGTTCTCCGTTATAAACTGAAGTGCGTTCCTATACTGTGCTGCCATTAAGAGTAAAATTTATGACAAAGCAGGTTTTGGTCAATGTCGTGGCTTCCTTGTGATTGACAGCTCACCCCTCGCCGCTCACACACAGTTTAAAAAAATCAAAAGACAGAGCAGATGAATGATGCTAGGCTATAGCGACATACCTGCAGCCACTCTTCTCCAACTATGGGTTGCGTTGGGTTGGGAAACCAGCCTGATCGACTGGCCACCAGCCTGGCGGCCCCCATGGAGCCGTGGATGTCCCTCATGGAGGACGCAGTGATTTGCGAGTCAGGAAGCAACCCAGACAACATGCCCTGCAGCTCTGAGCAGGGGGCATCTGATAGATCAGAACACAGAGAGGAAGGAGTGCTTAATGCTACCGCTGAGGATTTTTTATCAAGTTTAAGGCAGGAAAGATGATTTCTATTTATTCTGCCAGCTTATTACAATCAGTGCACAAAACAAACATTGATACCCCTCATTTCTTTTCGTTTTGTTAATAAAAGAAAAGCAGTTTGGGAACGTTTTGGAAAACATTCCCGTCCTCTGACTCAGTGCCTCAAACATCAGTCAGCAGCTAAAACCATTAAAGCAGCAACAACACTGGTGCTAAATGGTTGATTTTATGAATTTAAAGTTTGATGCAGTGATGTGCTCTCCTGTCCTCTGCTGTTACAGCTCACTGTATGTTTACCGCTGGGAATTTCATGCTGCATATGAAACTAGTTATGTAATATTAGAGGCTGCCCGGAAGCTAAAAATCTGAAATCCTCTGGAGTAATATACAGCACTCGGTTCTTTATATGTCGCTCGTAAGAAACAACTGCAGCAACTTATTGAACGATATGCAAACATACATGGAAATAGAGTCTATAGGGCAACAACGGAGTTTGCACAACGCTTGAAAATCAATATTTGGTATGTCGCAAAATCGATCAATGCAGAGCAGTGTCACAAACCACGGAGGCCCCAGAAAAGTGCAATCAAATGTTGAGTTTATTAACAGCCCGGAGAAAACATCAACATATGTCTTCTGACCCAAATACATGTTGTGGACACTTATAAAGCAGTGGGGTACACGCCCCCCCCATGGCGTCAATGACAGATTAAAATAGGTTCCTGACATTAGTCACAGTTAATCGTACATCTTGTACATCTTTAATAGCTATAAACAGACATAGAACTTCTCATTTTGATAACACCTTCCATACAAGGTGAAAATCTTAAGCCCTCAGGGTCTCTGAGGCTAATTCTTGACTCTGCTCATCTGTTACCAAGTAGAATAAAATGCAACAGGTTTGCAACAAGAAGCTGGAAACATTTGGGCCTCTGCTCAGGCCTATTCCAGCATGGATCACCTGGACAGTCACGGCAGTGAAGCTTAAGACCCTTAATGAACCGAACATCAACTCAAAATAGGCACAGATATGCAATGTGCATAAAATACTTCTAACCGTACTTGTAATAAAAGTTAACATAATGGAAGGATCCTCAAATGGACATCTTCAATAAACAACTGTAATGCAGTATCTGTAAGAAATATTATTAAATGGAATAATGCTGTAAAGAATGTTATTAATGCAGTTATAATGATGCAGATTATATGGCAGCAATAAAAGAATTTCTGTATCTCCACATCCCTCTTTTGACATTCCAAAAGGACACCACACCTCGTGTTGTATCACTCCTCGGCCCACTCTATGGCATCTAAGTTCCTCAGGTAGATTGAATCCACCCGTCCAAACACGGATGCCACCCAGGACTCCACTGGGTTTCCGATACCTGAGTGCTCATGCATCGTTTTAGACAAATTTTCCGGCCCTCCAGAGCTCGGGTTACTGAGCCATCTGGAGCAGTATTGTTGGGGATAAAGGTACAGCACATGTCGACCACCTTCCTCGTTAAAAAGGCTTTCTTCTAATTTCCCTGAGGATCTTCAGGAACGGTTCTCCAGGCTTCCTGAAGGACATTTAAAGCTCTTTTTGGATGTTTCTGTCTTTGTGTCCTCTGTCAGGATGATCCTACACTGCTTCAGTAATGCTGAGGTCCGAGTCCTGGGGAGACCCATCCATGACTGAAGCTCCACTGTGTGTTTTTTCAGCTAGGATATGCCTTCACTGCACTGGCACTCACTGTTGGACCGCTCTCCTGACCTCCTGCGTACATACTGACAGCGACTTGAACTGGAAACGCTCCATCAGACCTGTAGCCACAGTCAGTCCAGTCCAGGACACACCACTTCTTCTTCAGTCCGCCACTTTGGTCCAGTTTTCTTAAATTTTTAAGGACACACTGCACACCAGGCTGAGATATGCCAAGTTTCCAGCTAATCGCACTTTGCAAAAATCCAATTTCATGTCTGTCAAACTTTGTTATTTTTTATTGAGCCAACTAAAGACATTTCTTTAGTTGAATTTTGGGACAGGCTGCTAGTAACAAAGTAACAAAGACAGAAAATACAAAGACACATTTGCACAGGACTGTGTCTGGTAAGTAATTTGGACATAACGGGCCATAATCTGATATTTTCATGATTCTTCAAACGATGCTGGACTGTCCAAACTGTTCTCCGTCTGCAGGCTCCTGCTACACCAAAGCATCTGTCTTTTAACAATCCTTCATAAATGAACGTCGCTTTCAGGTCTGGAATATTTTGGCGACACTGTTTGATCTAATCTGGGAGCAAAATGTTGTGTTTGTGACACAAACAACAACTTGTGTGTTACGCGGCGCGGTGCCTTTGAGCTGCTTTCCATCAGCCCATTTCATTATTTTGCCTTCCTGCTGCTGCAAAGTTGATGCATAATTTTAACCTGCCTACCAAAGGGGGATTCTTCATGGGGAATTGAGCCAGAGAACTCTCAAATGGGAGCACTTAATGAAAGCATGTTGGAGATCAAAGGGATACTGTTTATTACACTGACAAATGGTTTTTAGTCCGACAAGCATCAAAATATGGTACTGCCATGAATAATGACGAAACACAAAAGGAACCAAAAAAACCAAAGTGACCAGTTCTGATCTGGGACGAAGACAAGAGCGATGGAGGAAAGGAAGACAAAGGTGAGGAGGAGGAGTTAGAGGACAAAGGGACGATAAAGAGATAGACAAAAGGTCAAACGGGGAGATGGACTGAAAAGGCAGCAAGTGAATAGGAAAGGGTGAGAAAGAGGGAGCGAGGGAGATGCAAGTGGGAAAGAGAGAGAGCCGGCTGACAGTGAAGGTTGACGGTGATTGATGGTGACATTCTTCAGGTCTTCACGGAGATGAATGTTTAATGCCGTGACGTTTGTGCCTCAGAATGGTAAATAATGAATCAACAATAAACAACAACAGCTCCAGCCAGGCTGGATGGCTCCTTCGAGCTCTACAGCAGACATGAAAACCGATTAGCTAGAAGGAAACGCTGTTCCCGTGTCATTTATTTTGTGTTTCTTATTTCCTGCATCAGTGTATTTTAGCAGCTCCTTTAACGTAGGAGTGCAGCATATCACCTCTACAGATAGCATAGCAGAAATAGTTTCAGCTCTCAAATGCACGCACATGCACACAGCAGTCGGACAGTAAAGGTCTCTCAGAAGCCCACTTCCTCTCACGTATGCTCTGATGTTTCGCCCACACACAGGTGAACACAAACTCCCACTGTGCCGTTTCTGATAACGGGGTCTCACAAGTACGGCGCCGAGGCGCTACTTAGCTGATGCATACGCACAGCTGGACGCACACGTGTGTAGTTTCTACAAATACACACGCTACACAAGCCCTGCTGGGAAAAATAGTAAAAGGTGCTAAAAATAAATGATTGATAAGTGCTGCGGTGCTAAAATAAAATGAGATTAAGGGAGAAGCGATGGAGGGAGGAAGAGCAGGGAAGGGAAGATTTAAAGAAGGGATGCTGGAAGAAGGAATGGTGGCTGTCAGCAAAGGTAAAAGAAGGACAGAGGAAGAAAAACATACTGACGAGAGAGAGACGGAGGAAAAAGTAGAGCAGAAGACATAAAAGTGTGATTTAAGTTAATGACATGTCAGTGACTGACTGCTTTATGTCTGCCTTTATAGGCTTGTGTAGGGCATTATCACATTCCCCCTGGCAGTGTGTTTGACTTTGTGTTTGCCTGCATGTCTGTGTGCTCAGAAAAGATACTGCATGGCCATTAGCAGGTATGTTTGGGCTTTTTCAGCAGGTTATGGACATTTTCCCTGAAACTGCAGCAGAACAGTTTCTGCTTCTCGCCACGAGCCTCGGAAATATCAAACTCTGACATCCCTCGTTACAAAAACCAGCCTTGAAAGTGTCAAGACTTTGCATATAAACTCAATGTTTTTCTCATGATGGATGACAGGAATCACAAGGTGGCAGGGATGAGCAAAAGGCAGGGCGATGCCCCAAAAAACGGGGGTTATATATGCTCTCACTCCTGAAAGCAGTGAAAAAGGCAGAGTGATATATAATGCAATTTCAGGTGTTAAAATAGAGTAAAAAAATAAAAACACAGGCAAGATACCTGATATATTCCACATCCCTGCCTATCTATCACACACACACACTCAGTATCATATTGTTTCGGTGTGATTGTGATTTGTGTGGGTGCTGAAATAGCCCTCCTGGATAAGAGCATATCTGTCCCTCTCAATGGCAGCAGAGAGAGGCCCTAACCTAATAATGATACAGTGGAGCGGGACACACATGCACACAGATATGCTCAAATGGATTGAAACTCTCTGTCTTTTACCATATACGCACAGACGCACACACAAACACAGACAGTCTAATTAAGTTTTATCTATTTATAGTATTGAGCTGATTATGCTGGTTGAAATCGTGTTTGTTTGCCAGGGCTGCAGATGAAAGCTGAGAGCCTGTTACTCTCTGATGTTATCACCCACACATCACACTCTAGTATTATTCTATTAGGGCTGAGTGTGTGTGTGTGTGTGTGTGTGTGTGGGTGGGGGAGACAGAGAAGGGGTGTATGTATATGAAAGGGCAAGAGTGCACACGAGGGTGGGTGTGTTGCACACATGTGAAAAGGAGAAAAAGACAAGAAGGCGGCATGAACAGAATTATGAATAGGAGTTAATGGATGGACAAATTACAAACCTGTTTATTATTAGATTATACAAATAAAGAAAAACCTTCCACATATTCCTGCACTTGACAAACTGACTTCTGTGTTTTTGCTGGAATCCCAGGAGGAGGTTGACCCCTGTCCCGAGAAAGTCTGAGAAACTCCGCAGGAAAAAAAAGCACCATCTGTCTTACCCGTGATCTGACAGCCGTAGAGCTCGAACCGCAGCGCAATGCCGTTCTTCCACGTCTGAGGTTTAATCCGCACGAAGCGGGCCAGGACCGGCTGTGGGATTCGATTGAGGACCACCTCCGTGGCGTCAGCGTTGGCATGGAAAACCTGCAGACAGAAAGGAACATTTAGAAGTGCGACGTTTGGAGTCCGTCTGCAGAACTGGAGCTCAGTAAGGATAATGGGAGACAGCCCGATATTGCTGAGTCACACTTCTATGAGCTGCATACAGCGATGTGCAAAAGTCATCTCTCTTTTATTTCCTTCCAATGAGCCAGACTTTGTCTTTTTTTTTAAATGCTCTTGAGCCAAAGTTCTCCGGCTTCCTGAAGGACATTGGCTGCTTTTCACTCATTTTCAGTCTCGTCCTTTTGCCTGATCCAATTTCAGAGAAATGCTTTTTTGCTTGTTTTTTAAGATGCTTAATCCTGACCTATGAATCATTGACACATGAAAAAGTCGTCTATTTCAGGGAATGAACAAGAAGAGGCAATGTAGCAAAGAACTAGTTTTAAGTCGTATCTTTCGGCACGCTACGAGAGCCATCTCTCGAGCGCGGTGGAGGCTCTTTTGTGATTTGCTGCTGCATTTTAGCCACCGGTGTTGGAGATCTTGATAAAACTGATTTTGATCCAACATGCAAAACCATGTAAAGAGTGTCTGAATGCCAACAGCTTCCTTTTTTAGCACAACAATGATCCCAATACTCTGGCAGTGCTGTGAAAACAAACACAGTGGAACATGATCAGTCATGGACTGGTCTCTGCAGAGCTCGGACATCAACATCATTGAAGCAGTGTTGAATCAGAGAAAGGTACAAAAGGCAGAAACAACCAAAGAAGAGCTCTGAATGACCTCCGAGAAGCCTGGAGAACGACTCCTGAAGACTATTTAGAATTGCACAAACTCAGTTGTTGCTGTATTTCCATGTATGTTTGCAAAATATACAGAAAATGAGGGCGGCTTAATATTCGTGCACAGTACTGCATACACATGATAATAATAATAAAGGTTATCTTATCTTATCTTATCTTAAATCCCAGCTATTCTGTACAGCAGGATTAACCTTCAAATGTTTTAAACTGTTAATTTAATTTTACACATTGGCCAAATAAACTGAAATTATTGTCCTTTTATCAGCTCACAGATATTTGAGTTGAGTTTTTTCTCTTCTTTGGTTAATTTCTGTTAAATAAATAATGACACAATCTAATATTGTTGATATTAATCCGATGCTGTATGCACTTGACCTGCTGAGGACCACGTGATCATTTGTGTCCTGATATGTAAACTCTTAGAAGTGAAAGTGTGAGACCATGGAAGACCAACAGAGGGGCCTCTGGATGTCTGGAGTTTTGATCTCCTCCATACCCGCTTCACACCCCGGAGGACGGGGCTGTGGCCCCCCCACACACTCCCTAGCAGATCATTACATGGAGAAACCTTTGGAATACAAGCGCGCTGATCCACACAGGTATGCACACGGGTGTTCACTGCTCGTAGACCCAAATTACACCCTTCTTGGCTGCTACTTCGAAGCACATCTGTCCTGCGTGCTGCACAGCAACATTGAATATTTAGTATTTACTGCTGTTTACACTTAGCTAGATTAATGCGATGGTGTTGTGTTTAGTATGTTGCTTTGTTTTTTTTCTGCTTGTTTTCTATTCTTCTCTCAACAGGTGATCCAGGAGATTTTTATTTTTTTTTCTCCCCCCCTTTCTCACTGTCCCTCTCCCCTTCTGTTTTTCCTTTCCTTCCTCTTTCTTTCTCCCTTTCCTATCCCTCACTCATGTCTGTCCCGTCTGTAACATCTGAAAATAAATAAATAATAAATAATAAAAACAAAGATCGACCAAATGGACCAATACGGCAATGCCACGATGATCCATTTGGCAAAGTAAATCCATTGGGTATCCTTGTTGGTCTTCAGACAACAATTCTGATGGCTAAAGAACCAAATGGGACAGGCGAGAAAAAAAAAAAAAAGTGAAAGTGTGAGCACTTTCTTTTCCCCTGACTGTAAGTGGTAGAAAGATGACACATATGATACAACCATCTAGTTTCTTTAAACCGTGGCATGATGAAAAACAATAATCTTTTGCTTTGTAGTTAAGTTTACGCCTCTGTCCACAGCTGTGATTCAAGACAACACTTAATGAAACTTAATGTGAGGTGAAAAGGCAGCAGATTAATGTTTCTCCTCTACGTGATTACATAAAGCCACAAAATTAATAAAGTGACTGTTCACCGAGGAGGGAAGGGGTGCAAAGGTTCACTCACACACTCACACACACTCTGAGGGCATGCAGTGTGCAATAAATCACGGGCGTAAGTATGTGGGAGAGCATCCTCTTCTCACGTCCTCTCGACTCAACCACACACACACACATGCAGGAAAACAGCATGAAGAAAAACACATCGTAACCCCCCGATGCACAAACACACACACGGCATGCGCTAACACACTGCGTGCAGACACCACTGTCCCCCCACATGCATGTAATGTGTCTCTGCTCTCACACGGTGCCCTCTGAGCTCTGAGCACACAAGTTCAGATAAAAGGAAACTGAATGCAAGCTAGAAGGACCCTTTTTGTCTTTGACATCAAGGCTTTATATCTCTGTCTATCTGACAGTCTCTCTCGCCAACAGCCATCTCCGCTGGTCTCCCAGCAGGACAGAACAACTGGGGTTCTGCTCTCTCATTTCCTTTTCTCCCTTCGTTTCTGTCTTTTTCTCCGATGTCTCTATCTCGTCTCTCGCTGATGATAAACGGCTGTAAATTCAAGGAAGATAATCCATGCTGTTGTTTCATTACAGGAGCAAATAAGCCTCTTTTTCCTTAACACTCTTTCTATTATGTTACATTAATGCTGAAAACATCATAGCGTGTTTATTACACAGAGCGGTGAGCCTTGTTCAACAGAGCCAAAGGCATTGCAATTACTTGCTTGGCTACGCATTTATAGATGTTTGCCTTGTTTTAGGTGTGTGTGTGTGCGTGTGAGCGTCTCTGTGTGTGTGTGTGTGTGTGTGTGTGTGTGTGTGTGTGTGTGTGTGTGTGTGTGTGTGTGTGTGTGTGTGTGTGTGTGTGTGTGTGAAAGATAAAAATCACTTTTTTCTTCCTGTCTACAATCCATTGAACAGCAGGACTCGTCAGGGGTGACAAAATATGGATGAAAGGAGTTTGTGACTTGGAACAGAACAGAAGCAGGCCACCAGGCCAGCTGGGAATTGAACCCGTGACCCAGTGGGTGTACAGCACAAAGTCGGCCTCTGTGAACTCACGCCCTTACAAAAGCATTCATACTAGAAACTGTGACCTGTTAAATGATGGAAAAATGCCTACAGGCCCCAAAGACTTAATGGGATTGTGGTAGCAGACTGTAATTACAAGTGTGTGTGTGTGTGTGTGTGTGTCAGGGTGTGTGTGTCACTGTGTAAAAGTGTAATTATGAAGTCTCACTCTGAGGAGTTGGGGGCTGGCGGGTGCTTTCTGATTTCCCAGGGTGCCCACTGAAACATTTTCAGTGGGCACATATACAATCACACACACTTTTACGTGTGTGTGGATACTTCTGCACACGTGTATGTTTGCGTGAAAGTCTAACCTGCAGCTTTTTTTGCAGCTTAACGTTTGCACAAACAGTGTTTGGCTCCGCGGAGCTGTGAGCAAGAACTTTGACACGAACTTGGTTCTGTTACTGTTTCAGTTACCAGCTTCGTTCAGGGTCATCAGGGATGCATCGCGTGCTGCAGCGCGTGCTGCAGCTTGTACCTGCGCGTGCTGCAGCTGAGCTACTGCTGTCACTGTCTTCATCAGGACTGTGAACTTATATCTTTACCACTTGCAGGGTCACGGGGCAGCTGGAGGCTATCCTGGCTGATATTGGGAAAAATATGGGATACAGCTGCCCGTCCTTCACAGGGTTAAGACACAAACCATGCACACTGCAGAATCAGTTCAGAATCATGCGGGAGATGATTCAGGAGAAAGCCAGAACACCTGGATTTAACCTGCTCGGACACAGGGAGACCTTAGAGGCCAGCCATTCTAGCTGTCAGGCGCCTCTCCTGGTAAGAAATAGCCCCATAAATATTTATAACCTGACCAGCTTGTTAAAAATTTAATATGTTTTTCTACACGTAGGCCATATTTTATGCTGCCACGTTTGTTAAAAGTCAAAGTATGTGAACTTTTGATTGTGTGGACGGGTGCCTGCCCGCACATCAGTCTCATAATAAAGTGAATTTAAGAGCAGGGACACTTCAGAATGAAACATCTCAAAGATGACACACACACGTGAGTTTGCGCACACATGCAAACAAAAATATCGCATTCCCGTAACGGCTCCCAGGTCGTGGCTCCGCAGCGAGACTCCACAGAGAGGTGTAAGGGGATACGCAGCGTCCCTGAGGTCTTAAACCAAACTAAATACACTGTTAACAGTCTCAGTCTAAAAGGCTTCAATAACAATCAGCTAATGGACTACACCTGCAGCCCAGCTCAGGTTATTAAGCCTGTGTTTGTGTGTGTGAGAGAGTCTGTCTGCATTTGTAAATGGGCTGATGTTTCCACCAAGGTAAGAAGACAAGGGAAGCTGATACTGGCAAAGAGTAGGGTGAACAGATGCTCCTCCCCCCTTTGTCTGTCTCCAACACACACACACACACACACACACACACACACACACACACACACACACACACACACACACACACACACAATAACATAAAGAGAAACTTCAAATAGTACTTTTATTTCTCAGTGAAGCTCAAAGGTGGCCGACATGAAGTGAATACCATTTTTCCTTCATTTACACACACCTGCTCCGCTGAATAACAATAGAGTTCTGGGTAGCAGATTCTGGTTTGCAGGCAAAAGGCAGCGAATCAGATCTAGCGAGTAACTACAGGAAAGGCGACTGACAAACGAGTGCGCTCACCTCACGGGAAAGTAAAGAACACGCAAGGCCACAGTCAGTCAGCCAGAGAGGGCCGGCACAGACGCGCTGAATTATTCAAATGTCTGTGCCGAGTGTGCGTCGTGTGCATGTGCATGCGTTGAGTTATAAAATAATAAAACACCCCCCATCTCCTCTCGTTCCATCAAAGAAGGCCAAACACAGGCACATGCTGGCGCACACGGAGACTTCGGGGAGGTAACCTGTCTTTGACAGCTGAATCTGAGCGCGTGTGTGTGTGTCTGTGTGTGTCTGTGTGTGTCTGTGTGTGTGTGGCAGAACAATGCACAAATCTCACAGACCAAACGACACACGGCACCTTCGTAATATCCCCTGTTGTCCCTTTTCTCGCTTTTTCTCCGAGCTTTTCTTTCTTCATTTGTCACAAACTCTTTTCTCCTGCTCTGCGCTGACCCGGCCCTCCCTTCTGCTTTTCCCTCACCTCCCTCTACTCTGTCGCTTTATTTTCCTTCTCTCTCCTGACATCTTTCCAGGCTGTGTTGCTGAGACCTCTGAACTATCCAGAGGGATTTGTGGTCAACACCCCTGTCTGCTATTCTCATTATTCCCCCTCTCCTGCTTCATCCATCTATCCCTGTTTCTTTTGCTCCATGATTCCCCTATGAACACTTCTTTCCCCCCGCCTGCCTCTTTCCTTCACTCACTTGTTCCCCTATGAACCTGCATTGCTCCCACCTCTCTTCCTCCTCCTGCTCGGTCTCTCCTCTCTCTATCAGCCTAACCTTTTGCTTTTTTCCTGATTTTTTTTTTCAACTTTTCTACACTTTCCTCCCATCACGATCCCTCTCTCTCCTGCTCATTCCACCCACGTCTCCATCCTCCATCCCTCTCTCTCCATCCATCCTCCCTCCCACAGATTAAAGTGGGAATAGGAGGTTTTGGTCTTGGCCGAGGTCCAGTTCTGTAATGGCCACAGACAGGTCTGCCTGCAGCAATTCTGTGGGGCTACGTAATGACACTTGTCCCACGTCAAGCTCAAATCTAGCTATATAGAGAAGTTCTCAAGCTCCTAAAGATAAAAACTGCAACTGAGACGACATAATTTCTCACGCCGAGGCCTCGTGCTGCAGAAAACTGCTGCCTTACTTGTCGTGCGCACAACGCGCCACACAGAAAGTTACAGGTACAAATCTCTTTGTGGCTAATGCAAATTCAACGACCTCTCGATTAAACCTTGGCAAATCGCTGCTTCACAATAAGAATAACAAATTCATTTTCCCATCTGTCTGTCATTCCCCTTTTCCTCTGGTAGTGTCTGTAAGTACAAATAGGAACAAATTAAGTCTGGATATTACTCCATGCTTGCGCCTGAAAAGTTTCTCCAAGTTAACATGTATTCCATATGCCCCATCTGGTTCACGACAGGCCTTTAATGACATTATCAAATACATTACAGATCACACAAATCATCACGATGCTGTGTGACAGCAGCACCGCCCTTGCAGGCAGGCTCCCAGATGTTTAAAGCCACAGTGTGTGCGCATACCTGTGTGTGTATGTGTGCACAAGAAGTGTCTGATTATTTAATATGCAAAAAGATAGAGGATGTAAATGCATCTAGTCACATGTCTGCGTGTGCTGTTTGGTGTGTTTGTGCTCCACTATATATGTTTAATTATTTCATGCATGGTGGTTTTGCAAGAACAAACTATCCATGTGGCTTCCATTATTTTTTTGTCCTGCTTTAATGCCTCTTGCCCATAAAACACTAACTCAATAATTCTTCCAAATTAACGCACACAAACCGAAGCATCGCTGCTGCCAAGCACAAAAGGCATTTGTTTAAGCGGCGCAAACGTGCCGGCGTATTTCCTGATGACTTTCTCAGAGACAGGAGGAGGAGGGAGAGCGAATGATGGAGAGCTGTGAGAGCGGAGAGAGTGTAAGGAGAGGCCGAAGGAAGATGTGAAGTGAGTGAACGAGGAGACGTGGAGGGAGCAATTGATGGATGAAGAGCTTCTGAAAGAACTAGTGAAGAGGCAAGTGAATGAAAATGTCAAGAAGGGGAGATGGATGGATAGGTGTACAGTCGGGGCACTTCTGTTTATTTCCTGGATGGCTAAAACAGCTACGACTTCTCAAAATTAATAACTTAGCCGTGTTGATTTAAGGCTTCCGCGAGACAAAAGGAAAACTGTGATCTATCGCATAAACTGATCCAGGATCTGCTTTCAATTATGAAATACAATTTCCTTGAATTATCCTGTTAATGCAGACGCAGCGTTTTACAAACTGCAGAATAAAACACACTGCCAAAAAGGTCTTGGCCACTGCTGTGGAGTGATTTATATCTTTCTAGCTTAAAACACAGACACACACAAACTCACGACAACAACCCCTGAAAGACGATAGAGAAAGTCAGCAGGGCAAGGCCAGTGCTGAGTGGCCGTCTGAGGCGTGTCAACCGAGAAAGGACAAGATGTTGACATCATCGTTTCATCATCAGATAAATGACCATCATCCACTCGGCCGTTTTGTTCTGATCTAACATAATGCTGCCACAACACATTCACAATATTTGTACGTATCTGCATAATATCCTTATTATGGCACTGAGACAGTGGTGTGTAGATGTGGATTAAAAGGGGTGCTGGACAACACTGAGCCGAAGCCTCAGATTACGGCACAGACTGGCACACCAGGGAGCCAAACAGCTAGAAAGACCCTGCCTGTGTGTGTGTGTGTGTGTGTGTGTGTGTGTGTGTGTGTGCTGCTGATTTATGGCAATCCCCTCCTCGTCACACACACACACACACACACACACACACACACACACACACACACACACACACACACACACACACACACACATGCAACTCAATGTCTCCCTTGGTATTCAGCTCCAAACAGCTTTCCAGGGTTGTGGCTGAAACAAGCAGGATTATGCGCGGTGACACCAGCAACTAGCCTCGACACATTAATCCGTTTTGCATATTGGATGTTTTTATTGTCTCGTTGCCCGATGTCACTGTGAAACTGGGCTGTAGCTGCTGCGTGTCTGCATGGACAGTATCATGGCTCATTATTCGGTGGATTTACTTTAGCGCCACTAAAAATGAAGATCTGCAGTTGAGTTATACCTTTGTAGTTGAGAATGATGCATGCATAAAACATGCAAAAGCATTAGAAATGCGCTCCAATCCAAACTTGAAATAATGAAGCATTATAAGTGCACAGTTGTGCGGCGTCCCTGTGTCTCCCAGCTCTTTGCACTAGCATGCTTGCTTCTGCAGTCCCAGGGAGACATTCACTGCTGAAAATGACACTATTTTCCAGCTTTGGTAGGAGAAAGAGTGAACTGCATTTTTGGTAAGCCATGTTGCAGGTCCTCAAAAAACCCATGCATATGTTCACCAATGATTGCAGAACACTATTAACCCTCTCGCTCCCACAGCTTCAGCCTCACCCTTCCCAGGAATATCACAAACCTGTCATCTCTTGATTTATCCAAGTTCCTAGATAAACTGCTGTGTGCTGTGAGCATTTAGGCCAGTGCCTGTAACTTATGATGGAGATATTAATCTAAAATATGATCGGTTACACTTACACATGCCTGGGAAAAATCAAATATATATATAAAGAAGTTTTCTAAAAGCTATAAACTTTTATTTTTGCCTAGATTTTTGTGGACAGTTAATGAGACCATCGACTTTGACATCATGTTTGAGCTCCTATTATTGTAGTCCAAATTTCCACAGGAAATGTAAAAGATTATTCCTTCCATTTACTGTAAAACAGATGCCGTTTATTACCACATAACACAAATGACCAAAGATATTAGCTTTTTTCCTTAAAAATAAAAGTTAACTAAGCTTAATATGTTGTAAATATAACTGAAGAAATTCCCTCATTTCCTCAATCATCCATCATCCCCATCTTTTATTGTGTGCTGTTTTATCCCACCATCACTTCTGTGGGAGTTAACATTTGCTGTAAGTCTTGTGGGATCTCCACTAAGGAATTCCACATGGTTAGACTGGAGCTCCTGTTTCCCTCTCATAGCAAAGCGCATGCATATGTGACTGCGTGCATGCATTAGCATTCATGAAGAAATAAAGGTTTACAGCACAAAGTCAGACGTGGCGTTAGACCGCAGGACAAACATGTGTGACCACGGGCAGGGGGAGAATGCCTCTGATGGAAAAACCAGCCAAAACCACTGGAATGTTCTTTTACTTTAATTGCAGTCTCAACCATTAAGACTCTTAATGCCGTCTGCTTTATTTCTACCTGGCTGGCCAGACTGCAGCGTGCACACTGATGACACATCATGCCTTAACACCTCAGAGAAAAACAGCTTGGAACCCGGCCCCAATCAGGTCAACGTTAGGCAGAGCTCAGACCAGAAACTAAAAGAAACCAGATGGGATGGGAAAGCAGAATGTGCAGTGTAAATGCAGTTGCATACAATGATGTCAGATATCACCGAGAGCCTGGAGACTCGTGCTGGTTCTGGCTCAGTCATAAAGCCTTAAATGAGGCCAACTGAATGGCAGTGGAAAGGCTGTAATTGCAGACACCAGTTAAATTTTGGGCTTGAGGTCAACTCTTGCTGCATATAATCCATCTCATATTTCCGTCCACCTCTCCCATCAAGATGCCAGCGGAGCCCGACGCCGGTTAGCAGCTCCCGCCTCGTGTGTTTGAACCTACCTTATGGTTTTTGCCGTGTCTGTAGATCATCCAGTCTTCTCCGTTCGTGCTGACCTCTAGCTTGAAGGAGGTAACAAAGTAATTCTTCTGCGTTTCCTTTGAAATGGCGCCCTGTGTGGCAATGCCGGTAAGCACCTTCAGAGTATGGAGGTCCACCTGTTTGGGGAGAGAAAGGTTTTAAACTTTTACTTAATAAGAAAATGATGACAAAGTAAAAGAAAACACAGAAATCCTCAGACTCAAATGTACTGAAGATGTAAGATTTCATTCTAAAGCTATCGTTGATCAAAGAAATGTCTGAAGACATTTTAAGTGCAACAGCAGTTGAAGACACACAAAAATAATCCCACAAATATACACCTGGAGTTATCTGCATCCATCTCCCCCGTTCGGCACTCTCTCCTCCCCTCCTCATCTACTCCTCTCGGTTTCTTTCCACTCTGCGGCTCTCTCCTGGCAGATCGATAGTAATGACCCGGGGCTCATTTTAATTTCCTCCCATACAATAGCTATAATCACGTCCTGATTGTGGATGCTACGCTACGTGGCTGGCATGCTGCTCGCTGCGTTGCATTATACATGGGGAGCACTGTGTAGGATGCGAAGCTTCAAACTCCGGGATTTCAAGGTCCCTGAAGTAGACTCGAATTTATTTGCTCCATAGTGCCCAAAACAAGTAAACACAGCAGAGCGATGAAGGTATTTAAATAACAACGGAAAATAACAAGACGTTGTTATAAATTCTCTCAATATGGAAGGAGTCTAACGAAACAATAAGTGATGGTGTTTGGGAAGACACTGAACACTGCTAATGAACGGCTGCATATTTATAACAAACACTGCTGGTCTGAAAATACCTGAAGTAAAATGTATTAATATAAATCACTGAAGCTTTAGTGGAGTTACCTGCCAGGATCAGAGCACACCTGTGATTCTTTAACCCGAGTATTTCATATTTTTAAAGACACACACACAGAGGAGCAGATGAGAAAAGTTCGAGTGTAGATTACAACATTTGCTCTCCTCGACTGGAGCTGCAGAAACCTGCAGATTAATCAGAACTTGTTGTGTGTGTTTACTGTGCGAGTGTGTGCTGTATGTCCCACTGAGGTATCGTACAAAACACCAGGGGAGGTAAAATGCTGCGTTTGTTATCTGTCAGAGAGACAGGTGTTCCAGATTACTTCCACCAAACACACACACAGGCGTGCACCGGCAGGGCCAGACAGAGATCCACCAAGACAACTAATCGATAACACGAAACCGAGGAGAGGAACAGATGAGAGGAGAAGGCGGGGTGAGTATGGGAGGAAGAGGGAGAAAAAAGAATGAAATCCAGGGGGGTTGAGGGCTAAGTGAGACTTCCCAAAGAAGGAAGGAAGGTCCCTCATCAATCACAGAGCTGTTAGAATAACAGAGCCACCAGCACTCGCATCATCAATCTGCACCACACCTCAGTGAGCCAGGCCAGAATAGAATAGAATAGAATAGAATAGAGGAGCTATCCTAAATTTATTAAAGCACGCCTGATCTGAAAACTCAGCCCTGCACTCACAAGCACTAAGCTGTAAGACTCCACAGGGTGCAAGATACAAGAAGGAGAGGCACGTTGGCATTTATGACAGCTGCTCATCAAGGCAGACACACACACACACACGCATGCATGCATGCATGCAGAGGCATTGCTCTGTGCTAGGTGTTAATGCAGAGGAACAGCTGAGAGCCTCTGTGGAACACGATGCCCCGACCACAGAGACACAAACCCAACGCAAACCGGGAGAGATCACATCGTCTGTCTGAGCGTCCGAGGAAAAACAGGAAAAACATGGAAATGAAATAATGTGTTTTATACAAATTGTTTTCTGTCAGCTACTTTTGAGAGTGGCCCTGAGGGTGTGAGGTTTCAGCTGTGAGAGGCGTTGTGCACTTCCTCTTGGCCACAATCTCTTCCTGTGTTTTTATGAGGTCTGAAGTGCTGCTTCTAATCCACGTCTGTGACTACTGTGTTTGTGACACTGGTCCAGCTAACATAAAGGAGACGTTTGTCTGTCATAGACAATATGTGCTTAATAATGTTTAATCTCTGCAGCCCGCCACTAAAGATACATAAATTTTTTCCTCTAAAAACATTTAATGCATAAATATCTGAGTTACTGACACTGCTAACAAACAAATGGATGCTAGGCTCTCATAGCAAGCCACGCTCGTATTGCACTCTGACTGTGTAGTAAATTTAGGAAACCTGGGAATAAACTGAGCCTTGCAGCTGGCATCCAGGCAAGTCAGAAAACTGTAGGAGAAGTTAAGGTCAGCAGTTTGCAATCTGGCGTGCAGCATCTTGCAAAAAAGGTTCCAAGATAAAGATAAAATAAATAAGGAAAGTGTGAATGTCATACGTCTGAAACAGGAAGTTGTATCACTTAAAGGACTAAAATAAACACAGAAGGTATGCAGCGGTTAGTCAATCCATGCTTGAGCTGATCCTAACTAGTTAACAAATGCAACCTGTGAAGAACGTTCAATAGGCAATGCTTTAGGGGTCGTAGGTCAAACAGGTTTAAGTGATAATCAATCTCGAAAGTCACTCGTCTGCTGAAACAGCCATATCAGGGTCGAGGCTCACTGTTCGGCCTGCTCTTTGATCGATAGAAGTCCTGAAAGCTTCCTTATGGGGGGATAAGGAAGCTTTCAGGACTTCTATGAGGATATGTATGTGGAAACATGTGTAAATGAGTCCAGTAAATGGCTTTAAAAACAGAGTCGTTTTAAACATACTGGTGAGTTATAAATGCTTTCTCCTTTTAAAGAACTGGAAGAAACCCCAGTAAAGATCCCATGTTTACTACTTAGTTACATTAAAGGTTAAAGCCTCTTCTACAAAACACACCTGTAGCAAAACCAATCCCCCCTAAAGGTATTTGTCCCTTTGCAAAGCACAACGCTAAAGCTGCGTGCTGGCTTTGTGAGGCTATCCCTACGTGACAACCAAAAAGGTAATCTGTTGTTTACAAAAGGTGTCTGGCTGAAAAGCAGCCCTCTGACCCGCCTGAGTCTTCCCCGTCTTAGGGGGTGAGTCGGCCTCGCCTTCCCTTCCCATCTCACCCAGACAGCCTCATAACTCAAGCTCAGGGATGGCACAAAGTTGGCACAGAGCTGGAACACAGGAAACAATGCCTTACCCGGGCATCGAGCTGCTAAACCTTGATAGCGCCACACCTCCCACTCGCTCTCTCTCTCTCACTTGCTCTCCCACATACGCTGACAAATATATCTGCGGTAGAGTTATTATGTGTGATATGTCAACACGAGGAAAAATATGGTGTTAAGATGGGAGCGCAGTCTGTTTTTAGTTTAGGCAGAGTAAACTTCTGCATTTAAGGATTAGGGTCTGGAAATAAAACAATGAAACGTCCGTGAAATAATCTTTCCAGAGGTCGAGGTGTTCGAGGAGCGGCTTTTTGAACCGTGAGAGGTTTCTGGATGGACACACTCATACCTGTATGTACTCCTTGTTGCTGTCGTCCGAGGGCGTCCACGCGTTATCGTTGTAATTGAGTCGGGCCTGTCGCGGCAGCCAGCGTTCGTCGGCGAAGGTCGACGACGCCGCGATCTGGTCGTCGGTGATCTTTCCTGACTCCATGCCGAACGCGTTACTGCAGTGGAAGGCTGTAAGAGGAGGGGGGAGCAGATCTTGACAAATATCCGTGTTTCGTTTGCGTTATTTTGAGAGAAAACACGCTACAAACTCCGGCTTACTCTCGCTGACTTCCTTGTGCGTCATGTTATAGCGAGCCGAGAAGCCATCTTTAGCCACAGCCATGTCCGTGTGGAAGGACAGAGAGAGGATCCCAGTGGATGACTGGATCTCGGGAGGCACCCTGGTCCCACAGTATCGACCGATCAGAGGGCCCACTGTCAATCAAACAGCAGTTAGTCATCATTTATTTGTTTGTGTGTTACTGAACCTCGCACTCGTCCAGCGGTCGAGATTATAATCTTATGTTTTTCATCTTTTAACCTCACGCTTGTTTATTTGTATCCTTCATGACTTGCACTGATTTTCCTGCATCTGCTCATCACTCCACCCCCTCATGTCCTCACCTCCCTCCTTTCATCCATCTGGACACGGTTTGAGAAAGTGCACTAATATATACAAATACACACATACTGTACATCTGTGTGTGTGTGTGTGTGTGTGTCAACTATTTGTGTAACACTCACACACACACACACACACACACAGACCCTTGGGCTTTAAATCACACTCATCTGTTTATGTTGACATATACAAGTTGTGGTATTAGAGAAGAAGACAGTAGAGGAATCACTTAGATCTGCACACACACACACACACACACACACACACACTGCTACTCCTTCTTCTTTTACACACACACATATACACATGAGAAGGTTTGTGGAGGAGGAGAGAAAATAGCCGGCGATCGATCAGTGCTATTGATTTTCTCCCCTTCCCTTTTGGAATGGGTGGATATTTGAAATAGAGAGAAAAGGAAAGCAGGAAAAGAAGACGAGAAGACGAGAGGAGGCAAACACTGAATATTTTTAAAGATTATACATATTTGCCGTTCCATTTTTGGCTTCCCATTTTGGATGGATGGGTTTAGATTTTAGGAGATAAAAACGAACTCAACAGAAATGACTCGTGCATATGTGTACACAGAGGAAAAACTGAAAACAACCGTTTGGTGTCTCTGCCGCTAATCGAGTGAGCGCTGGCTCTCGTTCCCTTTACATTTTGAATAAATCGATTTTTAGGTCAGCTGGCTGTCTCGCAGCGTCTCCTCCCTCCTTTCACCTTTTGCTGTAAAAAAAAACAGACTCTTTCCGCTTGCCTTTTCACTCTTCCTGTCGAGGATTTTTTTATTCCTGACACTAAAAGTCCTTCACCTCTGACTCTCACCCAGTAAATTTCCTTCCCTTTCCAACCCTCTTCATCTCACTGTATTTCCCGTTGCCTCCCTCCATCACTCAAAGCAGAAGTCTTCTCTTCTCTCTGACCCCTGAAGAAAGGGATTTTTTTAGTATCCCTTCAAGCTGCTTCCTCCGTAATGTGCATCGTGTCTCTGTTTTTCCATTGTGCCTAAGGCGAAATTCATGTTTACAGAAAGGAAAGCGCTGTGTTATTCCAGTCAGTCTTTGCTTGATGTTTTTAATGGTTTTATAATACTTGTTTAATATCCTCTGTGTCTATACTCTGACAGTTTTTAAAGCAAAGTTTTAAAAGTTAAAATAAAATTGGCAAAGTTTTCCAAATATTTAAATGCTTCTTTCTGGACGTCTTTCCAGCCCAGCTTTGTTCTCCCACTCCTCCTGTCGAAGGTAGACCAGAGGTCATTCCTTTGCTCCAGCGTTCCCAGCAGTCGATGACTTCTCTTTCTCCTTCTGTTTCTTTCTACCTCTTCCATTGCTTGAAACTCAGTCCAAGGGTTGCGCGCCTCAGAGTTGGAGTCCTTCTAAACTTCCAGTTCTTGTAGCAGTTAGACCAGAAATATCCCACCCTCCACTGTTCCTCCTCTCACTCCCTTTCTTTTCTCCCTTTGCTCAACAGTTGCTATTTTTTTCCCTTGAAAAGTTGCATTGTTTCTCCACAGTGGGTGCCAGCATCCTGCCTGTAAGCTTAGCTTTCATCTACCAACGCATAGCTTCTAAAATAGCTGCTACTCCACCTCGGTCAATAATGATGTAGGCAGGGCAGAGCACATATATTACTCACTTTGCTCTCTGCACTGACTCATGACAAGGCTGAGAAATAGTTTGACATCTCCATCAGCATCATCGCAGCAGCCGTGACAATAATGCAGTGATCACACGATCCGACAGATCCGAAGCATAAATGTCGTACCTCCCGGGAGCCCGTCCCAAACTTCCAGCCAGTCGTACTTGCAGTCTCCATCTCCACCTGGCAGGGGATCGTTCTCCAGGTCAAAGGTGAGGAAGGTGAGGGTGACATCCATTCTGGGCGGGACAATGATGATGAAGGCGCACTCGAGGTTGTGGGGGTATTTGTCGGGAAATCCCGGGGACTCGACGAGGCCCGAGGGACTGGTAAAGTTACGGGAACAGTCTGAACCTGGGATGAAGACAGAGAAACAAAACGTTGTGTACATTAATCAAAACTTCATGTTAATAGCGGTTAAATGTTGATTTAAATCATTAACTGGAAAAATCTTGGAACAAGATTTGTTTAGAGAAGAATGTCAACGCTCATTACATTTCAAACTAATGACATTACTCCGGGCAGGCACCCAGAGGTGCTGTTTTTAGAGGCGAGCACTTTAAACTCAAATCAGTTTCTCTGTTTCATAACTCCCAGCTCTGCTATCTCAGTTTTATTTAGATACTAAAACATCCACTTCACATAATATATGTCTATGATTGGGGCTACAGAGTGTCAATGAGTGTGCTTAAGTAGCTCGAGTTCACATAAAGGCCAATCTCATGGACAGACACAGGCTGATGGTTTCACAGAGGACAAAGCTGTAAGATAACAGACGGCTAATTTCTTTGTTTGTTTTTCCAGCTCAAAAAAACAAACACAAAAAGTCAACTCATATTAAATATTGCCTTTCTAAGGTGGTAAATCCCCAACTTTTCCACGTTGTGCAAGACCACAAAAAAAGCACTAATATTCTGCACCGAATGCCAAGTTTCAGTATGCAGAAAGAAAAGGATCGGCCCACGTTTTAAGTGCACTTAAGCCAGACTTTCTATTGCTGACAATTCCTGGGAAAAAGCACAGAGAGTTTCAAACCCGCTGCAATCTTTAAGAAAAATTAGCAACACTGGAGATGTTACGAGACAAACAGAATAAGAGGAGTGAGAGAGACAGACGGTCTGCTGACGGTGTCATGGACGGGTGGTCCAGCAGTTAAGAGGAGCTTTAGACATCATAATACATGCACACAGTCACGCACACATAAACATGCTGTGACAGGGCGGTGTTACCCTCTCTATTAATGCACGCACACAGTGTGCTTGCACCAACTGGACCATTATTCCAGGCCACCCAGCCATAAGACCAAACACTGTCTAAGCCTCTTAGGGTAACTCATGTCTCTCATGAGTTAATGAAGAGAAGTTAGCAGACACTAAAACACTGTGAGCTCTGTGGCACTGTAAAAATGAACCTAAACTACGTGTGTTTGCAACAACCTGTACAATAGACACGTTTCAGCTGAATTCTTTAGTGCTAACAGCTTGTGTTTTATGCTTTTCACAGCAACCCAACGGGTTTTTGGAGCTTTAAGTCTGTTTCATTCTGACTTACATGCATAACTAAACAGATGGCGTGCACTCAAAAAAAATTCACCCTAAATAAACATGAAGCAACATTTTTGAGTAAAATCCAAAATATATAAATATATAAAATCAAAGGTTTATGTGATTAAATGCTTAATCTTTAAGGAAAATGTGTTTGGTATAAACTGAATGTATATTTTATCTGATCAAATGACATTAAAGGTGACATTTTACTTTGTACTTGTGTTACAAAATTACATGGAAGCTGCAAAAATGTTTCTAAATGTATCAAAGTACTGTGGATAAACAGACCCGCTGTAATGGATCACTGCAGCTAATAGTGAGCGTAAGTCAGCGTGTAAAGGAAATTTGAATGACTAAAGACGAGTAGACATTTTAACCAAATGTTTCTGCTGATCATAGTCGACACTCGGCCCTGATGACACGCACACGAACACTTCAGACACCACAGATGCTTAGTTGTTCTTACAGCATCGTCCACATGGCCACAACGATCGCTCATCGTAGCTTTCTATATTTGCGAATGAACAAAATACAACACATGTCTCTGTCTCCTCCCTGCTTTTTTTCAGTCTGTGGAATTTCACTCAGCAAATGCATAAATCTGCCGGGACATGTGACTGATTTATGCCAGCTCCGATAAACCAAAGCATCGTCTGTGGACTTTTCTCACATTCTGCTTTGTTTACCGAATGTCTCCTTTATTTCTGGCATCATTAATTTTCCACAACGTCATCTATCTTTAGTTTGATAAAGATGGCCTGCATGCATATATCCCAGTTCTTCCTCTTCCTCCCTGGTCTATTTTTCTTGTTATTGTGACCTTTTCCCTCGTGCGGTGACCTCAGATGCGAGCAAACACACGCTCACCCAGAGACAAACACTGTCGCTCGTTGCGTCTGGCCCCCCTGCAGAGTCCATCACTGAATAGCGCGAGCCCGTGTGACTATTAGTGCGAGTGCCCGCGCATGTGTAGAGTAAACGCCTGACCAGTTTTCTGCCCGCAGTGATTTTTTCCCCTTTCATTACTTCACGTTAGTGGACTCTGCAAAAACACTTGTGCCCTCCTTTCTCCCATCTTCCTCCAGTCTGTCCCGTCTCGCTCTCTACCTCCACCTTCTCCGATTTCCTTTTGTGTTCACCTTCCTTCCCATCTGTTTGAAGCGGGTAGGTGTGAAAGAAACACGTGTTTAACTTGTAAGGGTTGGGGAACTGCGGTTAGCGTGCCGTGTGTGTGTCTGCATGAGGGTGTGTGTGTGTTGCTGGGTAGATTTGTTGATGGTGCTTAAGGCTCGCAAGGCACTGAGAGATAGGACCAACTTTCTCAGTGTGTGTTTTAAAATTATAAGCTTGTGAGTGCATGTAAACACTTTTATCTAAAATGTGAACATAAAATATAATTCCCATAAAAATCTGCACGTTTGTTTATGTGAAGCTCTACTTTTATTCAAGCTCCTTTCCAAGCCTTCACCAGGCTCTCGGGCTCTCCTTTCATCAATCTCTAACAAACACACACACGTCCACATGCAGAGCAGATTTACTGTAACATACACACACTGAAAGGCGACCACACACAGTTTAACAGCTCCAGCGCACCCGCAGCCTTGCTTTCCATATGTGTTTGGATTCCACTGCAGCGTTGTTTAAGTTGGAGGCTGGTGGCGCTGAAACTCTGACATTACATTTGAGCCTCTGTCACTCTATCACTGAGGATTTCTCTTTATAAACTCACTCTGACATGAAAACTAACTGCCATCCCTGTAGTCCTCCCACTCCAGTTTACTAAAAGTTCAAAACACTGTGATTCTTCAGTGATGTGTAACGGAGTGAAACATTGGAAATTTGATATTTGCATCTGTTTTGGAGCTGAAACTCTGCAGATAAGTGAAAGATTCCTAATTAACTGTAAATTTATTGAATATTTTAAAGACAATTCTGCTCTTTGTTGCACTCCTTTAAGCTCGGGGCACCTTTTGCTTGTTGCTAGGTCAGATCTGGATCCACTTTCTTCAATAAAATTCAGCGACGGCAGGAGGGAGCAACGTGATTGGTTTAACAGTCTAATGAACTGACTCGATGGGTAGCTGGACAGAGGCAGAGAGGAAGTGCCTGAAGCCATTAGGCAGAAAGGAAACAACAGCGGTAATCGGAAGGATCGTCACGACAGCTTCCACATTACACGCCTAGTGCATGTATAGAGAGAGGTGGCTGAGTGTGCGCAAGTGTGGGAAGGTGTGCGTGGGTATTACTCACAGAAATTGTTTTGCTCAGTTTCAATCACTTCACATTTAGGTCAGAAACTGTTGCCCACGAGGTCGCGTTTTTAACTCAGTGTGAGCGTTCGGTTTTGGGTTAGTGTTAAAGGTTTAAGGTTAGGCTCGGCTGAAGTTCAGGCCAGGGTGCGTCTACACTATTAATTAGTGAAATGTCCACTAATGCAAAGATAAGCAGTGTGTGTGTGTGTGTGTGTGTATGTGTGTGTGTGTGTGTGTGTGTGTGTGTGTGTATTAACATCTCCATGCAGACACGCAAGCTGCCCTGCATTTGTGAGTAACCCTTCAGCCTGCATCACTGAATTCGTGTGTGTGTGGTGAGTTCTGGGTCACAATAACAGCTGGGGGCACACTGCCTAGACAGTGAAATTTGATTGGTCGGCTGTGTTTCCATTGGCTGGAATTTTACTACAATCTCCATAGCAACAGGGCTGTAAACAATAACAACAGTAGCACATCATTTTGTTTTGACATTTCCGTTGTTTATATTTTATGTCTGTTTATGTGCTTCGACTTTAATGGCGGCTACTGGCGTGCACGCGTGAGCCTTCCATGTTCGTGTACATGTATGTGTGAATGCATTACATGTGCCTGTGTTCTCCATGCAAACCTACTCCTCACTCCATAACACACCCCAGTAACAGGAAGGGTTTGCAGCCAAGGCGTCCTCTAAATGTTCAGCCAAGCGAGTTAAGGCATTGAAATGCTAACAATCCAACAACACAGGGCACTGAAACTGAGCGAATCACTGAACTTTCTTATAACAAAGACTTCAGTGTGAGCTTCAGATTCACAAAGAATTTTTTTTTGAATTGGAAAGATTCAGTTTAATTTAATTTTAAACTTTATGCTCCTGAGAAATCAAGCCTTCCTCTTCCAAGAAACAGCAGGGCTCTCACCCCAGTAAACAGTGTCTCGGTGCAACGATGTTTACTGCTACTGGAGGAAAAACAGGACAGAAGAAATCAAATAAAATGAGAGAAAGGTCAACGAAGTGAACGGATGAATTACATCAAAGCAAAAAATAGTCATAAATTCAAATTTTGGAACAATTTAAAAGAAGAAGAGCTGTGGTGAATATTTTTTTTTAAAAAGAGGACAATGCATAAACTTAAAGCTCTTCTCAAGAAGTTTCTGTCTTGTTTTGTTCCACATATTTTTGTGCCAAGCAGTGAGACTATATTTACCCGTAAGTGGAGGCCGTGAAAATGCAGGAAAAGAGGAGAAGAGAAGCTTTTTCATCTTTCTTTTTCATTGAACAGAACTGAATGTGCAGGTGCCAAAAACAGATATAAATTTAGATGGTTCTCCATGAGGGTATACAGATTGTCTAGCATACACTCACACACAAAATCGAGTCATCCACACAACCAGACGCTCAGTTGCACCTTCCAGGATAACAAGATCTTGTTAGCCGTATGACAACAGCTTGAATTTTCCAAATGGCTCCATCATTACTGCCAGAAAAGGCTGGACACACACACACACACACACACAAACTAAGAAAAGTCCTGTAGAGGATTCATAGGAGTTGGATTTAAGTGGTTACATATTAAAATTTGATAAGTAGAATGAGTTAAAAGTATTTCTCATATCTCAAATAAAACGTTTGACCATTTAAACACAATAAATGTGTGATTGTAGTTATGGCTAAATACCCAAACAAGGTATTTGTAATGTTTTAATGTCAGCCTAACTGCACACATCATCAGCATTTCCAAACCACAAATGGCAGAAACTGAGAAATGCGATGAACAAAAAATGCTTTTCTTGCTCATTAAGCTGCACATTACATACATTTTACTGAATGAACTACAGTAATGTGTTGGAATTATGGAGTTAAGATTAAAAAGAGACACAAACGAGTGTTTACACGCAAAGAAAAAGAGAAATGACTTGATGATAAATTCAAAACAAAGTGACTGATTCACAAATCTGCCTTTCTCTTTTTTTTTGTCGCTCTCTATTTCTCCCTCGGGTGCTTGAGTGTGAACGCTGACACTCATGTTCATCAGGTGGACTCTGTCTTGTGTAACAGTCACACACACACACACACACACACACACACACACACACACACACACACATGCACGCACACACACACACACACATGCACGCACGCACGGAGGGAAAGACAAGAAATCCCAAAACGCTGGTGCCAGCAAGTGAGAAACACCAACAAGCACACGTGTTGTGTTAGTAACCTCAGCCCTCTGTGTGTGTGCATGTGTGTGTTTGTGTGTCTCAGGGGAGCAGGGCTCAGGACTCAATTAAGCAGGCATGTGTGGAATGCTTTCAGGGGGAACGGGACAAGATGGCCATGGGGCCGACGCTACGCGCCTCTCTGTCTCGCATGCCCTTGATCTCAATTGGTCTCGCTTTGGCTGACCCGTAGCAGCGTGAAGGGGAGCCGTGTCGGATACACACACTTCTACACACACACAAAGTGCCATGAAGGGAAGAGATGTCTTGCCTGGACAGACTAAAGAGCTCTCGAGGGTCCTCGGCTGCGTCTCTTGTGGTTTTCGCTCTGTCTCCATTGACACCAGGGAGATAAACGAGTCTTGGTCGCCTAATGAAGCATGTTCAATCCTCTGCTAGCTTGTAATACAGTTACTAATAGCCTATTCATGGGTGCAGTTCTTATAAAATCCTGTTCACTCACTGTTAAGGCTGCCCGCGTGTGCGGGTCATTTACAGTGATAATGTCCTTTTTGGGAGTGCTGGATAGACTTTATGGGTGCCGATGAAGAGGGCTTTGTCAGCCGTACAACAGTGTCGTACTGGGGTTGTCCTGGCAGTTTAAATTCTAATTTAATAAATGTCATTACAGGTTATTAAGCTTGAGTCTGCAATCCGTGTCACCTGGGCTGGAGCCTATCGCAGCCAACACAGGGGGAGAGGCTGGAGGATGACAAAGGCAGGCATCCACACAAGTCAGAAAAAAGTATGTTGAGTGACTGTGGCTCAGGTGATAGAGCGGGTCACCCACCAATCAGAAGGTCAGTGGCCCCCTGTCTCCTCCACTCTGCTGGTTAAAATACTGAACCCCACGTTGCCCCGATGCATTGTGGGATGGGGTGTACTTGCAGGGACTCCATCAGTACCAGTCCGTGTCATCGTGTCTTTGGGCTGCTGGACGAAACTGGAGCAGCCTGGCTTAGGTAGAGCATGCAAACTCCACACAGAAGCACAAATGTGCTAACCACATCCGCCCATGATTCAACCACTGAATACAAACTGTTCAGTATCAAAGGATCTTTATTCTCTTTATATATATATATATTAAAAAAAAGAGCAGCGTAAGTGAAAACTTACCAGTTTTGAAGATTTCATAGCGGAGCGAGAACCCCGCCCCCTGGTGGGCGTAGTCTGACACAAACTTGATGTGGAGCGCAGGCCCTGAGGATATGATCGGCGGGGGGGCGATGTTGCTGCAGTGCTTCCCCAGTAGGTCAGCTGACTCTGAGTTCCCGTCATGGATCTCTACATAGTCATACCTGCGACACACAAACACACCTCACTAAACACCTGGGCAGAATTTCCAGTGGCGATTCAGAGCTCGGTCGCAGGCAGAAACACACATTCACCAATCACGTTCAGCCTAAAATACACGAGTATATTCGAGAACATCTGAAAGCATTACATTAGTAGACTGATGAGGTGTTTAGAGGAGGAAAGGAAATGATGGTTCAATTACAGGAAGAGAAAACTGTTAAATTCCCCACAAGCTGCTTTTACTCTGATCTTATTAGTTTCTTCTCCTTTCTTTTTTATTTGGCAGGCATCACATTGGATTTGACTGTAAAAAGGAAGCAAAGAGCAGATTGTTTGCATCTATAAGGGGCTAGAGGGACTTCTGAAAGCACAGTTACTATCAGCGGCGGCATGGGTGTCATCGCGATTCAAATAAATACAGCAGAAGAAGCTGGCAGTTCACATATGGTGCGAGATGAAAAGCACCACCTGCGTGAAGCAAAATAGAAAAAGAAACCTTTTTAAGATTCTGTAACCGACTGATCACAGACTCCAACAGCTGAGCTTCGTGGTTTGCAGAATATAAGTACAAACAAAAGGAACGTGTGAGTAATATGGCGAGCACTCTTTTATTCTGCATGATGTCACACACAATGCAGTTTAGAAATCCCCACAAACAGATTCCCACTTTCACACAATATATTTACAAGTTTGATGGCTTTCAAAGCACAAAACAACGCAGCACTTAAACAGCGATCGATCTGTTTCCCATAAATCACAAGATTTCTGGTTAAAGGGTCAAAGTCACAAACGTACACAAAAGCCAAACTGTTTGAACCGCGAACGGACACGAGGCCCTCTGATGGTACAAATTGACTAATGTGGACCGAATGACTCTGGTTTACGTCTCGCAGAAATGTGAGTGGATCGTGTTTGTTGCTCGGCTTGTTTTCAAAGACAAATCCACATTTTCAAAAGGATTTAGGTCATGTCTGTGCTGTTCCCTCCGGCTGTGTTAAATCCTTAGGTTTAAATAAGACAGGAAGCACTGCGATACACAATTAACTACAAATAATCAAGATGATCAACAACTAAATGAAAGTTTCCTTGTTTTTTCATATCTGGTACTTTTTAATAGCGCTGTCTCCGAATTTCACGGTTATTTTCAATATTACACATTTATTTGCTACAGATCAGCAGACGGGTGCGAGCAAATGTTTTTTCCTCTGTAAAACGCTAGTACTGACTGCACATCTATTTTTATTCTTTTTTCTTTCATGTTTTCTGAGCACAAATGTTACGGCCCATCTCCGGAGCGGCAGCAGGAGCGTTGCCTCTGTGTCTGAATACCAGAGACACACCTGCCTGGCTCTAAAATAGCTTCCTCAATAGAATTTCCTCCAGCAGCTAATTTTCTTACAGCAAAACAAAACTCTGGCTGACCTCCCCCTGTAGATGTTTGTCCATCACATCGCCTACTTCTGACCACATGAGTCACATGAATTGCTTCAACACTGAGCTTTCAACATTTTTCTAAAGTAATCAAATGGACACGCTTCCATTTACCCTGGAGTCTAAAAGGTTTATACATTTAAATACTTTACAGTGGAAACAGAAAACCTCCCAGTGAGACAGTGGATTAATGGATCATTTACCACTGCATATTAAACATGCAGTACAGACATATTAAAGTTAAAAACATATATAAGGCCAGTTGGTCTTTTCAGTATTTGTCAGCATGCATTAGTAATGCGCATTAAAGTTACACTCATGTTGTTACTTTGTTACAAACGTTCCTCAGCGCTCTGCAGGATGCGCACACATCTGCACTAGCGCTATGATCAGCTGATTTCAGTTCCCGTGCAGGGAGGAGTGAAAACTACAGCGTGGTCTACAACTTTTAAGGGGTCATGACGTGAGAATTATTTTTATTTTTATTGTATGAAAGGACAAGAGTGTGATGGTAAAGTGCAAACTGCATCCAAAGACTGGTGTTAAAGCAGAGTGTATGCAGACCCCAGCATAGCAGCCAGAGCCTGTAATTAAACAGGTAACGACGGCAGTGCTGAGCCGCCACACTCAGCGCTGAAGTCTCCATTACAGCCTGTAAATGCTTCTGCAATAGAAATGCAACGACCCTAAAAGAAAACACTAGAAGAAAATTCATGTCCTCAGAAGGATAGGGATTCGTGTTGGTGTGTCGGACTGTAGCCTAAGGTTTATATTGTTAACTTCATATGCTATAGTGCATTACAGGCCATGGTATGGAGTAATGTCACGTAATGTAACAGAGTACTTTTTCCAGGAATAAAAATCCATAAGCTTTATTAAGAAAAACTCCGATGCTGGCCATGAATGCTGCTGTTTGTGGACAAAGAGGCCAAAACACATTCACAGATAGATGTTTTTTGTCATTTAGAAGGATAGTGATAACTCTACAAAAACTATTCAGCCCAGACTCTAAACCTCATAATGAGGTGCCAGGATTTAAGAGAGACACGACCTCTGTGGTCGAAAAATGTGTGACAACGTGACAAAAACTCCAGTTCGCCAAATGGGCACTCGGGGCCGGCTCCATGCACTCCCATGTTAAAATACTCCACTTTAGAGGAGAAAGGCCTACAGACTGATACAAAAACATGACTGTGTCTGAGGTTAAGTGTACTCACAGCATGTCCAAACAGTCTCTGCAATCCCATCCATCCATTTTCTTCCACTCATCTCTTAAACTGCAATTCCAGTGATTTAATACTATGTTACTTAGCCCTAATTAACAACTACAATGTTATTTAGGGCTAGCACTCATACAATGTATAAATGTGATAAATGAACCTGATAAATAAGCACTTCCCTCATCCGAATATGATTACTTCTGGTTCCAAATTTAAAACAAATACTAAAATAAATGCTAAAAGCTTCCAAACAGGGGTTTGCTAGCCTACAGGTGAAGTCAAGGTGGCGGTGTCCATCTTTTAAGTACAGTTTATGCCTTTAACTCTAGTCAGCGCCTTCTAGTTTGTGCTCCTTCTCATTACTTGACACATCCTGCCATAGTAATAGGTGGTACATTTTTTTACAGAGTAACATTTTCAGCATGTTATACTCTCAGCGAGCATTTTCCAACATGTTCATTCGCCATAACGTTTGCCTTGTACAATAAACCCCACGAACAATAGCGATGAAGAGCAGTGTGTGAGCGTGCAGTCTGACAGGTGAGCCACCTCCCAACATAATGAGGGTCACAGACCTCCCACTCTCCCATCATGCTTTCTGAGGAACTAACACAGTTATGACGCGAGCTGTCAGCGCACTGCGAGCATGTGTGCGTGCATCTGTGTGTGTGGATGTGCGCGCACGTGTACGTGTCAGAGTTCCTGTCATATTTCCCCAAAAGAACGCCTCATTGTGGTGACAGTTTCCTCCTCCCCTCTCTAGCACTGACAACTTTGTCTAACAGTTACTCACACCAGCACAAGATCTCCTTTTCTCTCTTTGTTCTGGCCTGCGCTGTTTCTAGTGATTTCTATTCTTTTCTTTCTACTGTCATTCTTTCCTCTCTTCCTCTGCGTGGCTTGTTTTAATGTTGTCAGGCACATAACCAGTGGCTAAGAGCCAGTGTGTGGGTAAGAGAGAAGAAGCAGAGATGGTGAAGAAGGATTAGGAGAGCTTTTACATGTTTTAATGTTTAACTCCGCTTCATTAATTGTACTTATAGGGGAAAAACATGAGATTACGAGCGAGATACATAGGCAGGTGGCAAAAAAACAAAACAAAAAAAACAAGATGATAATTTTTCCGAGGCCCAGCTGTCCTCGAGCCGGCATTATCCACTTTTGGAAAGCATTTTGGAAAAAGCTCAGTTTTCAGGTGTAGAAGCAGGGTCAAAACGAAGAGGAGAAGATTTGAGATTTAGCCGGTGCAGCGTGGATGTAGTCTGGGAGGGAACATGACACTGCATTCACTCTGCCAGCTCCACACCTAAGACAGACAGAGACAGGTGTGCTTCGTGCCAGCCGTCCTCCCTCCAGCTCTGTACTTACACGACTACTACACGCTCGCATGAGACCTGCTTCCATGCACATGTAAACACATGTACACACACAGAGCCTGTGGCCATGCACACTGATCTATAGAAGGGTTCCCAATCTGTCTGTGTGTAGGAGGTTCACAGCTTCTAACAAACTGTTTAATCTTACCCCATCACCCCAATACATTTCACTGCAGGCCAATCAGTGATGTACTGAGACTTGCCACGGGGAATAACACGAACCCCAAATGTGCTTCTCCCACACTTCTCCCTAAAATGTATTTGTTAACGAGCTGTTTGCATAACATGGGAGGGAACACTGGAAACCAGGACAAGTGAGGATTGTGAGCACAAATTGAGCTGTGAAAGAAGGCCTTAAACCACCTCTAACATTTGACATTCTGAGAGATTTGTGTGCCTGCGCTTGTTTGTGTTTTGGGGATGTTTCAGAAACGAGAGAAGCCAAGGCTTTTCCAAAGCCTGCCTGCCGGGAAGCAAGCGAAAGATTTGGATACAGATGAACTTCCACCCCTGATTCTTTTAATTGCCTTCCACACATTCCCTCTTTTTGGGTTGGGAGTTGTCTTCTTACACCTGCACGTTTCTTTCAAACATCAGGGGCGCCCTTACAGGCAGACGGAGCATCTGTGCAGCACACACGGCCGGTGACAACAAAGAGAGCTGAAGCCGGGCCAGGTGGGCGTTTAAGTGTGACAGGATTTTCGCGGAGAGGGAACAGAGAGGACAAACGCCTGTTAAAGCGTTGGTGCAAATTCAATCTATTAAATGTTTTTTGGGGGGATGATATGTTAGCTTGATAGGCTTCTGAGAAAGTTTTTAAGGGAAATGACATTAACTTCATATTCAAGAAATTCACACGTGCATGCATGCAGACACACTTTGCAGCTTTAGTCATGTGAACATTGCAACGGACTTTAAGCTAAGCTAAACATATCGGTGATATTTTAAAGTGGTTCAAAAGGAAGTGAATAAAAC